TGATTCTTCAAGGGCTGTAGAGGCGTATTTCTTGAATTGACATGATGAATTTCGCTAAGCGCCGTTGAGGCGTATTTCTTGAATGAAACATTTCTTCAAGGGCTATTGAGGCCTGGTCTTAAATTGAAGTGATGAATTTCATCAAGGGCCATAGAGGTAGAGGTTTGATCTTGAATGAAAAGATGAAAGTTTTCTTCAAGGGTCGTAGAGGCTTGATCTTGAAAGAATTGAAATTTGTTTCTTCAAGGGCCGTAAAGGCTTTATCTTGAAAGAAATTTTGAAAATGGATAAATCGGCACATATTTCTTGTGCGTGTTGATTTTCCATAATTGTGACAAAATACATTTGGCGTATTTTGAATTTTTCCCTGTGGTTGTAGGAAAAAATGTTTCCCTTCCTTTGATATGAATCCCCTTCAATTTTGGTAACGAAGGTGACTTCCTTCAAAGTGTTGGAAAGCTTTTGTGATTTCCTTCAAGGTTTTGGAAATATGTAATGCTTATCCTTGGGTGAGTAGGATGTGCATTTTTCACTTTCCCCTTTTTCTTTTCTTCCCTTGGCAAGGAGGACAATTTTTTTCTTCCTTTCCCTTTTGATTCCCACGGCAAGGGAAGGAATGATTTTTTTTTTTTTCTTATTTTGATTTCCATGGCAAGAAAGGCTTTTTTTCCTTTCCCTTTTTGATTTCTTACAGCAAAGAGGAGTATTTTTCTTGCCCTTTTTGATTCCACACAGCAAAGAGGTATTCTTCCTTTCCTTTTTTTTTTTTTTTTTTGGGAAACATGTCATTTGACTTGCATGCCAAGTTTGAGGTTGGTTTCTCTTCTGGAAAATTCTGTAAAATTTTGAAAACGTAGCTTTATCCCTTATCTTTCCAGTCATATATCGCATGCCACTAGGAAAAATTGGGAAGGCCTTCAACTTTGCATTTTCCTACAACTGTGCAATCTAGACAGGAAAGCAACTTCTGCGGGAATGATTTTGAAAACTGCAACATTTGGCTTTAGGGAAAATTATGAAATTTGGACACAATGATCCTCAGCCACTTATTTTCCTTCTCCAATTAGCCTTACATCAAAATCTTCGGGAAAGTTAAATTACTACCAAAAAACGTCATGCATGCGCAGATTGGCTAAAACTTGCCATTTTTTGCTTAGAATTTGCATCCTTCTTTTGGTGGGAATGTTCTTCATTGTTTTGGCTTTCCTTTTTCTATTTGGGTATGTATTTCCCTCATAGCATTAGGAAGCAATTGACCCCTATTTATAGGACAATTGGGTGTGCATTTTTTTCACACACACAATTGCTTGCCGTGGACTACCTTAAAGCTTTAGCAATGGGTTTGCTACTGGCTACCATGCCCTATAGCTGCTGCTGCTTCCGTGCCCTTCTTGCCGCTTGGAGCTTGTTACAGTAATTCACGTTTACCGTGTGGGGTTGTGCAAAAGACTACAGCGAGTTTATGTTGTGTAGTGCCTTTTAGTCACAACTTTTCCTCAGTGGTGACGGTGTCGTGCCTCTTGCCACTGCTTAGAGCTTGTTGCAGTGCGTCACTTTTACCGTGTGGGGTTGTGCAAAAGATTGAAGTGTTTTTAACACTGTGTAGTGCCTTTTGGTCATAGCTTTCCTCAATGGTGACGTTGTCGTGCAGTGCAAGAAACTGCTTGTGTACTTGCTGCGGGATTGCGTAGTGCAATTGCGTAGCATTTCAGTTTTCTTTGCTACTGTGGTGCACTTCGAAGGACCATCATGTCACTGCCCTCTTCGTCGTGCAATACAAGGAACTACTTACGTCATAGTGCGATTGCGTAGCATTTTGGTTTTCTTTGCTACAGTAGCCCGCTTCGAAAGACCATCTTGTAGCTTCCCTCTTTACCGTGCAGTGCAAAAAACTACTTGCATAATCACTGCGGGCTTGCGTAGTGCGATTACGTGGCATTTTAGTTTTCTTTGCTACTATAGCGTGCCGTGAAGGAATGCCTTGCAGCTGCCGTCTTTGCCGTGCTTAATCAAGCTTGTGGATGATTTTATTTTGTCATCGTGACTTCGTCATCTTCATCCTTCAATGTTCATGAGGTTTGTCTTGCATGTCTTTTGTTTTGGCGAAGCAAAAAAACTTTTTCTTGTCATGCCCTTATGCTTATGTTGCCTTGTTTGTTTTTGTTGCAGCCATGATATTTTTCAAGTGCTTTAAGAACAATACCATCACCATTCTTGCAAAGGAAGGCGATCCGCAGGATAGGGGAGCGACGTTGAAGCTTTGCGTGCTATTGACTGGCTTGTTGGAAATGTGCCCTAAAACCAATCATATGATGATACTTTATGAACATTTCCCATGTTAAACTAATCTAGTTTAATATAAAGGCTAAAGATTATTGTTTAAAGCCATCTCATGTAAATGTTATATGCTTAAATGATAAGTCCAAGGAATGTAATTGGGAGAATGTGATCTAAAGAAGTTAGATTCATGAGACCATTGTCTTTCATATACATATCCTAAACGTTCCTGATCATAGGATTGCCAATTGGGCATTGACAGTCCGTTAAGATCAGTACCTGTTATATCTTCTCTTAGAGAGAGTGACTGGTCTCGAGTCATTGGTGTGACTGACACCAAGACAAGCATGTAAGTGCTCAATAGAGAATGAGCCCACTGAACGCAATCACGAAGGAGTTCTCATACTCATGTCACATGAAAACTCATGGTTGGGATAATAAAAAGTAGTCCTTTGACTTGAGGCATCATAGTTGTCTTATGGTTAGATCCTTCATCTTTGACTATGTCAAAGTCACTTCGTCAAATGGTGTCCACGACATAGTTGAGGTTAAGCCACTTAGCCATAGGGGCAAGTGAATGCACAACAAGGGATCTTTAACCTTCAAACCGTTTGAGGGATGTTGATGCACAAAACCGAAGGGGTCTTGGAACAACGTAAATCCAACCGTCAATCTGCAAGAAAGTAAATAACACAAGATGTATCGTGGTTCACCCTCAATGTTTGGGCTACGTCCATACTAATATTGCATTTCTCTTAGAGAATGAGAGGGTGAGAGCTTCTGAAGGTGAGAGAGCTATTCCCATGGCCTAAGAATTTGCATCCCTTAATAAGGAGAGTGATGGGTCCTTTTATAGAGTAAGGGCTCCTCACTTATTACATATTTGCCCCTTAATTTATTACATAATTACATTTGAGTCTCCCGAGTATTTATACGAGATCTAAATACGAAGACCGTAAGTATGGTATAAACAGTAGTCCCCCAAGTCTTCAGTCAAGAGAGTCTTTTGGCTAGAGACTTGAAAATTCAGTCCATGTGTGGGCCGAAGTAACTAGATGTCGTCTAGAACTAATATTCGATATGAGATGGTGCCCAATCTAAAATGATGCTCAACCAGAAGTAGCACATGTTGCGAGGCTGCTCTGCTTGTGGCTTATGTTGCCTTGGTTGGCTTGGCTTGTGGTATTGAAGGTGAGGGAGTCCCTTTTATAGAATAAAGGCTCGCTCCTCAATACATAAATGGTGGGCTAGAGTTGATGCTCGTGGCGAAGCGGTTGCTCAGCAGGCAACGATGCTCTCTAATGATGGTGAGGGAGTCCCTTTTATAGAATAAGGGCTCGTTCCTCATTACATAAATGATGGGCTAGAGTTGATGTTCGCGGTGAGGCAATTGCTCAGCAGATGGTGATGCTCTATACTGATGGTGAGGGAGTCCCTTTTATAGAATAAAGGCTCGCTCATTAATACATAAATGATGGGCTATAGTTGATAATCGCAGCGAGGCGGTTGCTTAGCAGGCAGCGATGCTCTTTAATGAAAGTGAGAAAATCCCTTTAATAGAATAAAGGTTCACTCCTCAGTAGATAAATAATAGGCTAGAGTCCCCCAAGTATTTTTCATGAGGCCCAGTTGAGGCTCAATATATGGTACATAATGTAGTCCCCCAAGTCTTCAGTCAATAGGGTATGTTGGCTAGACTTCAAATTGAATCCATGTATGGGCCGAAGTGGCGGTTGTTCGGATGCGGTATTTGTATACCCTACACTAAAACTTTGTAGGTGAAGCTTTGCAAGTTCAAGCTTTGAAGCTAGAGCTCTGTAAATGAAGCTTTCGAAGCTGGAGCTTTTGTAAATGAAGTTTTTGAAGCTAGAGCTCTGTAAATGAAGCTTTTGAAGCTGATTGACATGAGTGATGCTCATAGATGTTGACATGAGTGATGCTCATGAATGTTGACATGAGTGATGCTCATGAATGTTAACATGAATGATGGTCATGAATGTTTATGTATGATTGACATGGGTGATACTCATGAAATGTTTAAGTATGAATGACATGAGTGATGCTCATGTATAATTTTGGAGTACTGGACGTACTTTTAATCACCTGGTTGGTGGTAATAGCGGCAGGCTGCCGAATAATTTTTTGTAGTACTGGATGTACTTTTGATCACCTGGCTCTTTTGGGCATATGGGCATTTACCCTCCACATAACATTCCAGCCCATTATTTTGGGCTTGTCTTTTTTTTTTTTTTTATTACTCTCTGATGGGGTTTATACAGATGTCTCCAAAAGATAAGAAAAATAAATCACATCAGTCAAAAATAAATCCGACCTTCTGCTCAATGGGTCACGCCCATAATTCCCTTTTCTGCATGCCATCACCACCACAATTATGTCTGCTTCTTTTTATTTTCTTTTGCTTTCTACTTTTACTTTCTCTTTTCCCTTTTGCAGATGGCAGACAAAGAATGATAATAGAATTAATAATAAGAAAAGAATATTATCTCCGCTTTTGCTTTTCCCGTGGTATTCGTAGGAGATGGGATCTGGGTCGGCGACTGCCCCGACCGTGAGGACCTTCGTATCATCAAGTGTCTTTGCTTTCTTATTCTCTCTCATCTTCTTTCTTTCTCGCTCATCATTTTTTGAGCTCCCAGCATCACTCACTTCTTTGAGCTCCCAACCTTTTGCACCTTAGACCTGAAAAACCTGTCGCTCATAGAACGAGATGGTCGTTAAAATTCAAGCTTGAGCTCGTCTTTTTCCCCAGAGAGGAGGTGAAGAACATATAGGGCGGCTCGGATCGCAATGACCCAAGCCCCAAACATGGCGACATGGCTCCGCAGCTGCTTCAGAGCCTCAGCCTTGTCTGGCTTCTGCATAAACATGGGAAACATTTTTCTTTATCTGGTATGGCTTTTCTTTCCTGCAAAGTGATATGACAAACGCAGCCTAACGCTTAAAGCCCTAAAACCCCAGTTGGTGCTCTACGAGATCGGTCATTTTCGAAAGCAGCGTCGGGGATTGGAGAACCGACAGCGGAGATCGATCCTCGGCTGTACAAGTGGATATGCGATGAGTAGGGGAGGATGCGCCTGGACCTAGGGTTTCTGAGAGCGACCGCAGCCATTGGAATGAAGGAAGAAACAGAAAGACAGAGACCGCAGCCATCGTTTTTACAATGGCTGGACCCTTACCCATTTTTACCTGATCCAAGCTTTTGCTTTCTGTTGCTGCTGCTGCTCAGTCGAATAAGCCACCTTTTTGGACGTAGCAGGCGTCCCAACGGAGCCATGTCGCCATAATTGTAGGTGTTGCAGCTCGACTCATCCCTCAACATCTCCTTTTGCTGCTGCTGCTGCTTTGATGATTTCAATGGATTTGACTAGACTTCAGTTGGTGAACAGTCGACGAAAGGAAATGAAAGTACAAGATAGAGAGAGAGAGAGGTTATTGGGTTTTTGAATTTTTGTGATTTTGCAGATTCACGGTGGAGGTGAAAAAATGAAAGAGAACCGACATAGCTTTTCGTGTCGGTTCCCACAGACGGCGCCAAATGTTGATGCACAAAACCGGAGGTCTTGGAACAACGTAAATCCGACCGTGAATCTGCAAGAAAGTAAATAACACAAGATGTATCATGGTTCACCCCAATGTTTGGGCTACTTCCATACTGATATTGTATTTCTCTGAGAAGATTGAGGATGAGAGGGTGAGAGAGCTCTTCCCATGGCCTAAGAATTGGCCTCCCTTAGACCCTCTCCAATGGTGGCTTATAACCTAAATTTTCCCCATTTCCCCCCCCCCCCCCCGAAATCCACTCCAACTCAAAACCTAAACCAAACCTAAAACCTAAAACTTAAAATGAAGGTAAATATAGGTCACAAATTTAGCCCACAAAAGTTGCTGGGACCCACGGATGAGAGTGAAAAGTGGGCATTGTCCTGTAGCCAACATCTACTTTTCTTCATTGGGTGGTGGTGGTAATTGGACCGTTGGTTAATCCAACAGTCCACATTCAATTTTTTTTTGTTTTATATTTATATATTTATTGAATTCAACGGCTTAAATCAAATATAATTAAATCTAACGGTCCAAATTTAAATCCAATGGCTAGAATAATCTTAAAATTTATCGGAATTTAAATATTTTTTTCCAACTGCTAGAATAATTTTTTTTTTTAAGTTTATGTGGTTTATCATGATTTTCATGTATTGATTTAGTGATTTTTCAAAATTTATCGGAATTTAAATATTTTTAGGTTAAAATATTCATAAAATTAATTTAGGATAGTCTACATAATATTTTTTTTTTAAAGTTAATTTAAAAAAATTAGCCTTAATTCATTTTTTGATAATCTTGGGCTAAAATTTTAGGCCTAAAGGGTTGGAGTAGAAAAGCTATTTCTGGGCTAAAACCTAAATTTTCTGGGCTAAATATTTTTAGGTTTTAGGTCAGGATTGGAGATGGTCTTAATGAGGAGAGTGATGGGCCTTTTTATAGAGTAAGGGCTCCTCACTTATTACATGTTTTCCCCTTCATTTATTACATAATTACATTTGAGTTCCCCGAGTATTTATACGAGATCTAAATACGAAGGCCCTAAGTATGGTATAAACAAGGGAGAATACTTTATGATATGATTAAGAATCTTTGGCCAGAGTATGAATGAGATTTAGGAATTTGTTCCAAATCACATTCAAGGTAATCATATAAATAAGAGAATCACATTGGATAGTAGACATGAATAAACTATCAAACCAAACAATGTGGTCAAGAGTATTGTATTAGAGAAAGACCGTATTGCGTTGTAATCCCAAACTAAATAGGTTCTCCACATCTTCTGATTAACTTGGGTAGCCATGACATACTGCTAGGTGTCACTCATGGTTTGTGGAAGCCCTAAAGGTATATAATCACTAAAGGGAGAATTGAAAAGTAAGTTTTAATTCACAATCGATTTCAAGAGTTCTAATCACTCACTGCCTCACTAAAAGGAACCTAATGGCATGAAAGCCCAATGAACCTAATGGCATGAAAACACAAAGGGCATGAAAGCCCAATGAACCCACATGGCCGGCCATAGAGAGTGTAAGGGAAAATTGGTTTTAATTTCAATTATGCCACTCAATGTAAATGGCTATAGAAAGGAAATTATAACTCATTCCCTCGAAAGGGTTTTCTAGAGAGAAAAGAGAAAACCTCAAAAAGCTCTATCTTTTCTTAAGAAGCTGACCACCCTAGGAAGAATGGAATAGCATCCATCTCTTCCTAGGTCACTCATTGTTGGAAATGTGCCCTAAAACCAATCATGTGATGATACTTTACGGACATTTCACATGTTAAACTAATCTAGTTTAATATCAAGGGCAAATATTATTGTTTTAAGCCATCTCATATAAATGTTATATGCTTAAACGATAAGTCCAAGGAATATGTAATTAGGAGAATGTAATTTAAAGAAGTTAGATTCATGAGACAATTCTCTTTCGTATACATATCCTAAACGTTCTTGATCATAGGATTGCCAATTGGGCATTGACAGTCCGTTAAGATCAGTATGTGCTATGTCTTTTCTTAGTGAGAGTGACTGGTCTCGAGTCATTGGTGTGACTAACACCAAGACAAGTACGTAGGTGCTCAATAAGGAATGAGTTCACTGAACACGATCAACGAAGAGTTCTCATACTCATGTCACATGAGAACTCATGGTTGGGATAATGCAAAATAGTCTTTTGACCTAAGGCATCATAGTTGTCTTGTGGTTAGGTCCTTGATTTTTGATTATGTCAAAGTCACTCCACTCGCGGGTGTCCACGGCATAGTTGGGGTTAAGCCACTTAGCCATGGAGGCAAGTGAATGCGCAACAAGGGATCTCTAACCTTCAAACCGTTTGAGGGAGAATACTCTATGATACGATTAAGAATCTATGGCCAGAGTATGAATGAGATTTAGGAAGTCGTTCCAAATCACATTCAAGGTAATCATATAAGTAAATGAATCACATTGGATAGTAGACATGAATAAACTATCAAACCAAACAATGTGGTCAAGAGTATTGTATTTGAGAAAGATCGTATTGCATTGTAATCCTAAACTGAATAGGTTCTCCACCTCTTCTGATTAGCTTGGGTAACCATGACATACTGCTAGGTGTCACTCATGGTTTGTGGAAGCCCTAAACGTGTATAATCACTAAAGGGAGAATTGAAAGTAAGTTTCAATTCACAATCGATTTGAAAGAGTTCTAATCGCCCACTGCCTCGCTAAAAGGAACCTAATGGATCGTACACCGTGTAAGGCAAAGATTGAAGAAACAACGGAGATGAGTAAGAATAATTAAATGGTTTAATTATTTATGGCAAGGATTAATTAATATGTTAATTAATCAAACGAATAAAGTTCGTTAAAGACCTCGGGTTAGTTTTGGGCCTCAAGGCCCAATGGGGTTTGAATGTCAAGCCCATTAAATGAAGTTGTATGACAACTTGAATAAACAAAGGGCTTGAAAGCCCAATAAACCCTTAAGGCCGGCCATTTAGAGGAGGGTAGTGAACTTGCTTTAATTACAAGTTTGCCACTCCAATGAAGGAAGGTATAACTATGACTTTATAGCCAAAATTCATTTAGGGTTTTCTTTTGGGGAAAGGATGAGAACACAAGCTCTCTTTTCTCTCTAAGAGGCCGGCCACCCTAGAGGAACATAGCTAGCAATCTTACTTCCTCTAGGTCACTCATTTCTTCATCAATCTTTCCTTGGTGTGGAGACTTAGAGTTTCTCAACTTTGAGAACTTGGAGAAACCTATTCTTCCATCCAAATCCATGGATCTAAAAAGCAAGGAATGAAGGCCCTATCTCTTGGGTGATTATCCTTTGCTTTTGCAAAGAGGAATCTACAAAGGTATAAATTTCTCAACTCACTTTGTTTTGAGTTGAGTCTTGGTTCACCTAACTACTAGGCTTTGAATTTAATGGGTAATGTTTTGTTTTGAGTGCATGCAAGCATGATTCCGCCTTTAATTTGTTAATTGCATGCTATAGATGTTGCTCAAATGAACATGTTTTTCACAAAATTTCCTTCACTCATCTCTTCCTCAATGCTCTCCTTGGTGTGGAAACTTAGAGGTTCCCTTTCTTAGGAACTTGGAGAATCCATTCCTTCATCCATATCCAAGAAGTCATGGAGTCAAGAAGCAATGCTCCTCCATCCACATCCATGGAGCCAAATAGCAAGGAGATTAAGGAAAGAATGCCCTCACATGGGTGAATATCCTTTGCTAAGCAAAGAGGTGCTTCAAAGGTATAAAAATTTCTCAACTCTTTTCTTTAAGATTTGAGTTGAGTCTTGGTTCACCACAACTACTAGGCCTTGAATTTCATGGGTAAAGTTTTGTTTTTGAGTGCATACAAGCATGATTCTGCATTTAATTGTTAATTTCATGCATAGATGTTGCTAAAATTAACTTGTTTTCACAAATTAATCCTTCATATCCTTAAGGCACTTGTTCTTCCGACCAAAGACAACTTGATGCACATCAAGTCGTGATCTTTTTAAATGTCTTGGGAGGTGACAGATTTTTATCGACCAATTACGAAGAAGAAGGCTTGTACATCGAGGATTCTTATTTTGAATCCTTCACACCATGCACATTGTCATATCCCAGCCCGGGCCCCCACCACATCCCGGGCTCGACTCCGTCGTAGCACGATATTGTCCGCTTTATGCCCCGACCACGCCCTCACTGTTTTATTTCTGGGAACGCACACGAGAACTTCCCAGTGGGTCACCCATCATGGGATTGACCTCGTATGAACTCGCTTAACTTCAAAGTTCTGATGGAACCCGAAGCTAGTGAGCTCCCAAAAGGCCTCATGCTAGGTAGAGATATGAATATACATAT